TTGTACATGCGCATGGCCCAATTGCAGCCTTCAGAGCTTTAATTAAGCCACACGAGAGACATATGAATAACACTAATATATGACACATTTAAAGTTCAACCTGTAAATACAAAATTTCCATGACAATAGGTCTAAGTATATATTTACCTTATGGACTTTTTGTTGGACTTTGAGTTTGATTTCTGCAGTTACATGTGAGTAATGTAATTTTACATATATTTATTGCTTTTTCTACTTTGTACTTTTTTAGAAAACGTTTTGTGTTTGTTGGTTGATAGATCATCAATAAACAAAATTTCCATTCCTGACAGTACCCCCCCCCCCCCCCCCCAAGGAGCAGCTTCAGGACGCTCCAAACAGTCCTTAATGGCCAAAATGTTCCACCGCCCGGGTCAGGTGACTGGCTGGATATCCCACTGCCGGAGTCAAGAGACTGACTGGGTTTCCTGCTGGTAGACTTATATTTTTGCAGGAGACTGCAGGAAGGCAGGTTGCTGGACACAGGATTTCCAAAAGCAGGCTGGGAATCAGGGGCTGGCACATCAGGCTGGGCAGCGAGCAGAGGCACATCAGGCTGGGCAGCGAGCAGAGGTACATCAGGCTGGGCAGCGAGCAGAGGCACATCAGGCTGGGCAGCGAGCAGAGGCACATCAGGCTGGGCAGCGAGCAGCACAGGCACAGCGAGCAGAGGCTCAGGCTGGGCAGCGAGCAGAGGCACATCAGGCTGGGCAGCGAGCAGAGGCACATCAGGGGCAGGGCAGCGAGCAGAGGCACATCAGGCTGGGCAGCGAGCAGAGGCACATCAGGCTGGGCAGGAGCAGAGGCACATCAGGCTGGGCAGCGAGCAGAGGCACATCAGGCTGGGCAGCGAGCAGAGGCACATCAGGCTGGGCAGCGAGCAGAGGCACATCAGGCTGGGCAGCGAGCAGAGGCACATCAGGCTGGGCAGCGAGCACCGGCACATCAGGCTGGGCAGCGAGCACCGGGTCATCAGGCTAGGCAGCGGGCCATCTGGCAGGACAGCGGGCAGCGGGTCATCTGTCAGGACAGCGGGCAGCGGGTCATCTGTCAGGACAGCGGGCTGCGGGTCATCTGGCAGGACAGCGGGCAGCGGGTCATCTGACAGGACAGCGGGCATCGGGTCATCTCAGCGGGCATCGGGGTCATCAGCGGGCATCGGGTCATCAGGCTCGACAGCGGGCACGGGTCATCTGGCTCGACAGCGGGCACCGGGTCATCTGGCTCGACAGCGGGCACCGGGTCATCTGGCTCGACAGCGGGCACCAGGTTATCAGGCACCGGGTCATCTGGCTCGACAGCAGGCACCGGGTCATCTGGCTCGACAGCGGGCACCGGGTCATCTGGCTCGACAGCGGGCACCGGGTCATCTGGCAGGACAGCGGGCACCGGGTCATCTGGCAGGACAGCGGGCACCGGGTCATCTGGCAGGACAGCGGGCACCGGGTCATCTGGCAGGACAGCGGGCACCGGGTCATCAGGCACCGGGTCATCTGGCAGGGCAGCGGGCACTGGGTCATCTGGCAGGACACCGGGGGTCATCTGGCTGGACAGCGGGCACCGGGGCGTCTGGCTGGACAGCGGGCACCGGGGCGTCTGGCTGGACAGCGGGCACCGGGGCGTCTGGCTGGACAGCAGGCATCAGGTCATCAGGCCGGGTAGGGTCATCAGGCCGGGTAGGGTCATCAGGCTGGGTAGCGGACACTGGGTCATCAGGCATCAGGGCATCAGGCGGGATAACAAAAGGCGGGTTTTCAGACAGCAGGCTGACCGGTTTGGATACTGGCAGGATGGTACTGGTTGGAAAGAATACTGAAGCATTGCAAGTAAATGCAGATCTGTAAACAGAGGGAGCAGCTGAAGACAGAGAAGAGCTGGAGGATGGAACAGAGGAGGGAGCAGTTGCTACAGAGGGCTTCTTTACAGGGTTAAAGGCAGGATAGGTGCAGCGAGTGGGAACAGGGTACTGACATGTGGTTGATAGCAGGGTATACTGGGCTGGAACTGGGGGTGCTGTCGGGAATGCAGGAATAGAGCTTTGAAAAAAAAATGGATTAGAAGCGGGACTGGGTTTTTGCAAGCTGACTGAGGCTGGATGTAACAAATCTGACCATGTCTGTAATACCGGTTGAACAAAGCTTAGCTTACACGTAGCCTGGCTGACCAAAGACTGCACTGCGTTTTATACAATCCACAAGCACATGTGATGGACAAGCTGACTAATGCTCAAAGAAGCAATCTGGATCATCCTCCAACAACTTTACCAGTGACTCTACTTGATCTGCCCTAAATGGGGGAGAAAAGTCATCCCTGCTTTCAGGGGTACTGGACAGAGCCAACTCAGCACAAGCCTGGATCAATGGTTGGACCTCAGAAAACACCGTGCCCTGATCTACTAGCGAATGAGCAACCTGCATACACTCTAGTAGCTGATCCCTGGCCCACTCCTTCAGAATCTGATAGCAGTACTCTCTGTTCTCTATTGCTAGCAGAGACAAGTACAAAACCTCCTCCGGGTGCATCCTTCCCCAACAACAAGCCAAGATGGCTTCCCTGTGCAGCCACTTCTGGTCAGGATTGGCCTTGGTGTTATGTCAGGGATCCAAGTATGACCAGAGGTGTGTGGACTGACACAGGGAATGGCAGGCTTCAGTAGTGATGCAATAAGAATAAAATTTATTAGGAAATACACGAGTATACAACGCACAGTACAAACAAAACTAAACCTCCAACTAATGTCAGTATGTTCAGGAACACAGACAGGCGTAGTCAGGCTGGAGAGGTAGAGTGGTCAGGCAGGCCGGGTCAGGAACAATCGGGAAGATAAGGTACAAAAGGAGCAGGCAGGAGCAAGGTCAGGAATAGCCGAGGTCGGTGCAGGCGGAGTTCAATCAGTGTCAGAGTCAAGCAGAGGAAACAGGCAGGCAGCCGACAGGACCAGGTACAGGGGCTCATGGGAAACAACACCAATGCGCTGATTGCAGGCCTGGTCCTGCTTAAATACACCTCCTGCAATCAGCCTCAGGTGATGGCTTGATTGCAGGAGTGAGATCCTGGCTGCTGAAAGCACCCGCTGGCAAGCACCGGTACTGCAGCCCACACGGCAAGAGAGCCACAGCATCACCAGTGGTGAGTCCTTTCCTGACAGCGTGTGGAGAGGTTGTGCTGATCTGTGCTCTGCTGAGCTCCAGAAAGGTCTGAAAAGCCTGGGGCTTGAGTGTCCCAGCTAGCCCAGGAAGGATGTCTGTTCCTGGGCCTGGCCCTGCCGGTGGAGGACCCCCTGAGGGACTTATTACCGGTCCTGATCCATCAACTGTAGAGGACCAGGGAACAGCCCCAAGGAATGGGGAAGGTTATGGAGAATTTCGGGGGCGTGTGGTGGCCAGAGTGAAGGAGGTGGAGAAGGAGGAAGCCAAATTGGCCAAGCTAACCCTGGAGCTAAAAAAGTTGAGATCCAGTTATGATCGGGTATGGAGCACTAAAAGGCAATCCATGAAACCGGGTGTCAGGAATGGACTGGCCAGCAATGGTGGGACTCACCTGCCTTATGGGCTGCAGTACCAGGGCTGGCCAGCGGGTGCTCCCAGCAATCAGAGACTCAACCTTTCAGCCAGCCAAACACCTGAAACTGCTTATGCTGGTGTATTTAAGGGATGGCCAGACCTGCAGACTCTGCCTTGGTGTGTGTGTTTTTCCTGGGCCCTGTATCTTGTTCCTGCATTCCTGTTCCTGTTCCTGTCTTGTTGCTGACCCTGTTTGATCCTGACCTCTGCTGACTTCTCCTGTTCTGATCCCTGGCTTGTGACCCCGACCATTCTCTGCCTGACCCCCTGTACCTACCTGCCTGTTAGTTGCTGTACCCGGCTCGTGACCTGACTACTCTCTGCCTGCTCCTCCTGTTCCTACCTGCCCGTTTGTTATTGACCCGGCCTGCCTGACGACGCTTGCATTGTATGTACTGTTATCTGTGGGTGGTTTGGTTTGTTTGCACTGTTATGTTTTAGTATTGCACTGCGTTTATGTATTGTTAGTGTTAATAAATCGTATTGTTTATAACATATCTGAAGCCTGCGTTTCCCTGCGTCAGTCACATACCTCTGGTCATACCCCGAGAGCCCTGACATTACACCAAGGCCAATCCTGACCAGAAGTGGCTGCACAGGGAAGCCATCTTGGTTTGTTGATGGGAAGGATGGATCTTGATGAGGTTGTGTATTTATATCTGCTAGTGTTTGATGACAGAGAATATGCTTATCAGACTCTGAAGGAGTATCCCAGGGATCAACTACTAGAATGTATACGGCTCGCTCATGTTCTAGTAGATCAGGGCACAGAATTCTCTGAGGTGCAGCCATTGATTCAGGTTTGTGCGGAGTTGGTATCATCTGGTACCCCCGAATGCAGGGATGAATTTTTGCCACCATTTAGTGCCGACCAGGTAGAGTCCCTGGTATGGTTATTAGAGGATGATGTGGATTACTTTCTGGAGCGTTATTCTGCATGTTCACCACAGATACTAAGAGATTGTATAAACGCAGTGCAGTCTTTGGTCAGACAGGCTTTGTGTAAGCTCAACTTTGTTCAACCCATACTGCAGACATGGACAGATTTGTTGCACCCAGCCTCAGTCAGCTTGCAAAAACCCAGTCCTGCTTCTAATCTATTTCCTCAAAGCTCTATTCCTGCATTCCCAATAGCTCCTCCTGCCCTGCTATCTACCGCATGTCAATACCCTGTTCCCACTCGCTGCACCTATCCTGCCTTTAACCCTGTAAAAAAGCCCTCTGTAGCAACTGTTCCCTCCCCTGTTCCATCCTCCAGCTCTTCTCTGTCTCCAGCTGCTCCATTCGTTTGCAGACCTGCGTTTACTTGCAGTGCTCCAGTAGTTAAAACCAGAAAAAAAGCGAAAATTCTTTCCAACCAATACCATCCTGCCAGTATCAAAACCGGTGAGCCTGCCGTCTGAGAACCTGCCTTCCGTGACTCAGCCTGATGCCTCCACTCAGCCTGATGCCTCCACTCAGCCTGATGCCTCCACTCAGCCTGATGCCTCTACCCAGCCTGATGAACTGATCCAGCCTGGTGATCCTATTAGGCCAGTTGACTCGATGCCCGCTGTTGATCCAGACGATCCGGTACCTGATGACCCGGTGCCCGCTGTCATACCTGCAGACCCGATGCCTGCTGTCGAGCCGGACGATCCAATGCCTGATGACCCAGTGCCCGCTGTCATGCCTGGTGACCCGATGCCCGCTGTCGAGCCAGACGATCCAGCGCCAAATGACCCGGTGCCTGCTGTCGAGCCAGACGATCCGGTACCTGATCCGGTGCCTGCTGTCGTGCCAATTGACTCAGAGCCCGCTGTCGTGCCTGGTGACGCGGTGCCCACTGCCTTGCCAGATGACGCGGTGCCCGCTGGCAAGCCAGATGACCTGATGCCTGGTGACCCAGTGCCCACTGTCATACCTGGTGACCCGATGCCCGCTGTCGAGCCAGACAATCCGGTACCTGATGACCCGGTGCCCGCTGTCGTGCCAATTGACTCAGAGCCCACTGCTGTGCCTGGTGACTTGGTGCCCACTGCCTTGCCAGATGACGCGGTGCCCGCTGTCGAGCCAAATGACCTGATGCCTGGTGACCCGATGCCCGCTGTCCAGCCAGACGATCCAATGTCTGACCCAGTGCCAGCGGTCATGCCAGTTGACTCGGAGCCCACTGTCGTGCCTGGGGGTCCGGCGCCCGCCGCTCCGCCTGGGGGTCCGGCGCCCCCGCCGCTCCGCCTGGGGGCCCGAGACCCGTCGCTCCGCCTGGGGGCCCGAGACCCGTCGCTCCGCCTGGGGGCCCGAGACCCGTCGCTCCTCCTGGGGGCCCGAGACCCGTCGCTCCGCCTGGGGGCCCGAGACCCGTCGCTCCGCCTGGGGGCCCGAGACCCGTCGCTCCGCCTGGGGGCCCGGCGCCCGCGCGCTCCGCCTGGGGGCCCGCTGCCCGCCGCTCCGCCTGGGGGCCCGCTGCCCGCCGCTCCGCCTGGGTGGCCCGCTGCCCGCCGCTCCGCCTGGTGGCCCGCTGCCCGCCACTCCGCCTGGTGGCCCGCTGCCCGCCGCTCCGCCTGGTGGCCCGCTGCCCGCCGCTCCGCCTGGTGGCCCGCTGCCCGCCGCTCCGCCTGGTGGCCCGCTGCCCGCCGCTCCGCCTGGTGGCCCGCTGCCCCCGCCGCTCCGCCTGGTGGCCCGCTGCCCGCCGCTTCGCCTGGTGGCCCGCTGCCTGCTGCTTCGACCTGGTGATCCGATGTGCCTCTGCCCGGAGTCCAGCCCGATGTGCCTCTGCCCGGAGTCCAGCCCGATGTGCCTCTGCCCGGAGTCCAGCCCGATGTGCCTCTGCCCGGAGTCCAGCCCGATGTGCCTCTGCCCGGAGTCCAGCCCGGAGTGCCGCTGCCCGGAGTCCTGCCCGGCGTGCCAGTCTTTGATATCCCGCCAGTTACCAGACCCGGGCGGTGGAACATTTTGCCCAGCTAGGACTGTTTGGAGCATCCTGAGGCCGCTCCTTGAGGGGGGGGGGTACTGTCAGGAATGGACTGGCCAGCAATGGTGGGACTCACCTGCCTTATGGGCTGCAGTACCAGGGCTGGCCAGCGGGTGCTCCCAGCAATCAGAGACTCAACCTTGCAGCCAGCCAAACACCTGAAACTGCTTATGCTGGTGTATTTAAGGGATGGCCAGACCTGCAGACTCTGCCTTGGTGTGTGTTTTTCCTGGGCCCTGTATCTTGTTCCTGCATTCCTGCTCCTGTCTTGTTGCTGACCCTGTTTGATGCTGACTTCTCCTGTTCTGATCCCTGGCTTGTGACCCCGACCATTCTCTGCCTGACCCCCTGTACCTACCTGCCTGTTAGTTGCTGTACCCGGCTCGTGACCTGACTACTCTCTGCCTGCTCCTCCTGTTCCTACCTGCCCATTTGTTATTGACCCGGCCTGCCTGACGACGCTTGCATTGTATGTACTGTTATCTGTGGGTGGTTTGGTTTGGTTTGTTTGCACTGTGTTATGTTTTAGTATTGCACTGCGTTTATGTATTGTTAGTGTTAATAAATCGTATTGTTTATAACATATCTGAAGCCTGCGTTTCCCTGCGTCAGTCACATACCTCTGGTCATACGCCGAGAGCCCTGACACCGGGCTTGGAAGCTCTGGAGGTGAAAGTCTCTCAGCAAGCTAAATATGTGGCTGCTTTGAAGAAAGGCAGAATTCTGAAAGAAAAATTTGGAAATGATAGCCGCTTCAGAGCAGCAAGGAGCAGGTGCGTGGCGGCGGCCAGAGGTCCCATAGGGAATACCTCATCCATGGAGGAGTTGTCGGAGGAGCCGGGGAAGGAAGGAGAGCGGGTGCAGGGGCTGGCTGAGCCCGCTGCAACAAGTTCAAAAATGGTGCTGGCAGATATGAAGGATGCCGATGAGGTGGGCGGTTCAGGCTCCCTCCCCCCGGGCAGCATTGTGCGGATTGGGGATCGAGAGTGGAGGAGGTGGAGTCGGCGGGAGAACTACACTTCATTCCGGAAGTGGAGCTGAACTTGAGGAGTGGGAGCTTCCGGTGTACGTCGGAAGAATCCGGAAGTGAGGAGGAGGTGGATACTGTGCGGAAGCTGGCTAAGCCGGTCTTGAAGGAGCGAGCTGTTTTTATCCAGCTGCAGCGGATCCCAAGCTCCCTGGGGAGCTCTGTCTTATTGCGGGACGGAGTACCATTAGTTGGGAACGTGGTGCAAGACCCCGGAAGTGTGGACGGTACAGGGGTTAAGGACACTGTCGGTGGTAAGAAGTCTGTAGTTGATCATGTGGTAACAGCTCCCCCGGCAGAGCAGGGGGCGGGAGCTTTGGTTCCTTCAGCCCCGCTAGGCCCCGCCCCTCCGAAGGTGGGGGCTACTGTGGAGGGAGATGCTGCGGTGTCCGGCTCTCCTGCTGAGGCTTTGGCTGCTTCAGTGCAGGTGTCTGCAAGTCTGAAGGGGCGGTCAGTGTTGCCCAGTCCTCATGCTCAGGTCCCTACGCAGTATGGTTCTGGTGGGGATGGGCGGGTTGCCCAGGTTCAGGTCTCTGCGGGTCCTGTGCCCTTGGGGTCCCCTACTGGTGGCTCTCTCATCTGGGCCCGTTCCCCTGGGTCCTAGCGCCCCAGGTCTGGTCCTTCCTGGCCCAGTTCCCCTGGAGGCGGGTGCCCCTGTGGCCAATTTACCCATCAGTTATTCAGCAGCAGTAAGAGGTGGGCAGGGGTCCTTTCGGCCAGCAGCGGCTCAGGCTGGCAACTTGCCAACCTCTGCTGTGATGCGTAATGTGGTCCAATTGAAGTGGTCAGGGGAGGGGCCTCCTTTGAGCAGGAGAGAGGTGATTGACCGTGTGCTAGAAATGGGTTTTAAACCCACTGACATTTTTGCCTTTATTGCCCCAGTAGGGACTGGGAAATTTGATGTCTCCTTCGTAAGGCCGGAACAATTGGACTTGTTCTGGCAAAGATACGAGTCTATATATGTCCCCCAAACTAATTTCCCGCCAAAAATATAATCAAAAAAGTCACGATCCTCGTGAGAAATGAGTCCATCCCACCATCTGACATCGTAGTGTGGTTGGGGAGGTTTGGGGACATCATGGGGGCCCTCAGTAAGGTGGTTGAGGAGAGGGGAATTTGGACAGGAAGATGGAAAACCACAGTCCACCTAAGAGTTGAAGGAAATGTGCTGTAGCACATTCCTTCATTAGCTTTCTTGGGTAGAGACAGGATCGTGGTTTTTTTATGCTGGCCAGCCTCGGGTCTTTCACAGGTGTGGCGCAAAGGGGCACTTTGCTGCCACATGCCCCGTAATAAGGTGTTCCCTCTGCCAAGAGATTGGGCACCTGGTGAAGGATTGTAATGTTGTACGGTGCAAGCTCTGTGGGGTCCTAGGCCACACATATAGCCAGTGTCCGGAGGCACTCCGAAACCTCCCTGCGGCAGAAATTGCAGCCGAGCTGGATTGGATGGATGCTCAGGAGGCAGAGGTAGCAGCAGAGAGGGCCAAGTCTTCTTCAGTGGGGACCCCGGTGGGGGAGGGGGTGGCTTCTTTGGATCCTCCTGTGGTAGTCCCTCCTGCTGAGTCAATTTCTGATAGTACCCCGGTAGTTTTGCCTGCTAGGTCTGTCCCCCCTCCTAGTAAGGGAAAGAAGTTAGTGGAGGCTGCTAGAGGGGCTGGGGTGGTGTGAGTGCAAAACCTGGGTCGGTGGTGCCTGCTCCCCCGGTCCTCCTCCCTTTAAGGAGGAAGGAAAAGGTCAGTAAGGGGCCTCAGGGGTCCCAAGTCCCTGTTCAGGGTGTGCAGGATGGTGCCCAGGTAGAGGAGTGGTGGTGGGTGGGCATAGTAAGCCGGTCCTATCATCTGCAGGGTCTGTCTCCTCTTTGGAGGTGGGGGATGTGACCCTTGGCAATATGTTTGGGGCTCTGTCTGGGGAGGAGGAGGTGTCTGAGGACCCTATCTCCCTGATGGAGGATGAGGAGGCAGGGGGGGTCTCTTAAGAGGTCTGGAGACCCTTCTAAAAGGTCAAGAAAAGGGTTAAGAAACGCCACTCTCAATTGCCAATGGCAGTTCCTGCTTCGATAAAGGTGGCAACCATTAATGTTCCTAGGCTAAAATCTGTAAGTGCTAGAGAGTCAGCCATATTTTTGCTCAGTGATATTGATGCTGATGTTTTCTTTTTGCAGGAGACCAGGTTGGCCAGCTTGGCTGATGTTCATCTGGCCAAGTGGGAGTGGAGGCGCGGACCTTCCTACTGGTCTCTTGCTGCTGAGCCTTACAGCGGAGTTGCGGTGCTTTTTACCGGTATGGTAACGTGTCGGCGGATCATTTAGGTGGAGATTGGACGATGTTTGATCTTGGATGTCCTTGTGGGGGGGCAGGAACTGCGCCTAATCAACATCTATGGACCGCAGTCCAAGTGGGACAGGAAATGCCTCTTCACAAGGATCAAGCCTTTCCTTTTTACAGTATGTCCCGGCTGGTTGTTTTTGGAGGTGATTTTAACACCGTAACTAGGCCCAAGGATAGGAGGGGCTCCAATGACAGCCTGGGATATGACAGCGTTTTTCTTAATGCTATTGTCAGGGAAGCAGGTCTGGTGGATGCCTTGGTTAACCGCAGTCCAGACAGCACGGGTTTCACGTTTAGGAGAGGTAATAGTCAGAGTAGGATAGACAGGTTTTTTTTGAAGGAGGACTCTGCCTTCTCGGCACCTGAGTGTTGGGTGGTGGAGTTCTCCGACCACCTTATGCTTACTGTTGCTTTGAATCCTTCAAACACACCACTGAGAGGGAAGGGCATCTGGAGATTGAATGAAGATGAGGTGAGACAATCCTTCGAGGAGTTCTTTCAGGCCAGGAGACCGTGCTGGATTTCTGCAACAGTAAGTCAGAGTGGTGGGAGCTTACTAAGGTGCAGATCAGCAGGTTTTTGCAAGGCCATAGGTGAGAAAAAGCAATTTAATATGTATACTGCCCACCAACGGTTATGGAGGAAGCTCGACCGCCTTGTTTCTAGCAGTGGGGATTCTGGGGCAATCTCGGAGGTCAAGCTTCTCCTTAGGGAGTACCAGTATGACCGGAGTGCCTCTTTGGTTCTGGAAAGGGACTACGGGAAGTACCACTCACCCGACCCTTTTCAGAACTGCAAACAAGGTGCTGCAATTAAGACGATCTCCGCCTTGAGATATGGTACAGGGTCCTTGGTTAAATCCAGGTCAGGGATTCTAGAAGTCTCTAGGTCCTTTTATACGGACTTACTAAGCAAGAAGCACCTCGACTGGACAAGGATGTTGAGTTTTTTGGAATCTACA